GCAGGGCAGGGCAATCCTGCTGCCTTTGTGGGAGCAGCACTGTGGCCCGCTGCGTCATCAGCCCCTGTTCGCAGCACGTGCCAGGGATGCTCAGGGAGGGCAGGAGCCTCACTGACTGTCGCCCAGCAAGGAGCGTCAGAGCCTGGGCTCAGCTGCTGCCCTGGCTCTGTGCACCGTGTCACCTGTTCCCATGCCCTCCTCTTTCCCTCTGGGATGCCCCTCTACTCCCCCATCCGCCACCTCTCCTTTGTGGTTCATTGTGCCCTGGGGAGGCTGCTTCGGAAGGCCAGTGGACACTGGAGACAGCAGAGGTCAGGAGCTCACTCCCTTGGCTCCCCGGGGAGGTCCCGCCAAGCCAGGTTGGCGGCCCGGGACATGGCTCCTCTCAGGTTGTCTCCTGGGGCCTTTTGGTGCCCATGGTGTCATCTTTCAGGCCCTGGTGGTCACCACGGCTCTGTTTTGACACACCTGTCCCTCCCTGAATCAGGGGAGTCGGGTGCCACTTCCTCACCCTACGCTGATTTGAACGCCACCTGCTTCTGGGGAGGACCCCAGAGCTTACTCTGGCTCTTAAAGAGAAGTTGGCTGCAGCGAGACATTGCGGAGTAATGCAGGGACACACGCAGTGAGCGCCCTCCATTCCAATTACTGGGCGGCATGTCAGCCGACCGTCATCTTTTCTAATCTGAATAATAGGAGGCAGATAGGAGACAGGGTGGGGTGGGGGAGAGAGGCACAGGAAAGGATCCAATTAAATTTCTTCGCCCTTCACTTGGGCTTCTCAGACTTGTGGAATTGATTGTTTCCTTTTAAGCTTGTCCCTGTATTTCCATCTTCAAACTAAGTCATTTGGCATAAAGCTTTAAGACCTATTTTCATATTAATTAATCAACATTTTAAAATTAGATTTCTGTCTTATGGCTTTTCTGGGTGCATCCCTATAGGAATGACACAGTCATATGTTCAGTGAAATCCGTGTGTTCCCAGATAGTTTCCTTTTCATACGCGAAGCACAGAATATGAATTTTCACAATCAATTTCTTTGTCAATAAGGGCAGGCAGTGGAAAAGGATAAGGCAGGCCTGACTCCAAATTAGCTCTTTGCTGGAGGGGAGTTCACTAGCGTGGCTTGTGGGGGACAGCCTGGCCCACTGAGCAAAGCGCGGGCTCCTGGGGCCAGGCAGGCTGCTGATTCTTACGGCTCAGGCTGCTGGGAGGTGACTTTACCTTTAACGAGCTGGCCTCTCGCGTCCTTGGAAAAGTGTTTGTCCACCTGTGAAGACAAAGTGGGACCATTACTGCTCCAATTGTGACAGTGACACCATGGCACAGGTCACGCCAGCCACACCGCCTGGCCGAGTCCCAAGGGCAGATGCAGAAGTGCCTGGCAGTCAGGGAACAGGTGTGGTGTGCTCGGCCCTTGGTGACAGATGCTGTGGCTGGGAGGGTCTGGCACAAAACCATGTGGGTTGACACCCAGTCTTGCTCCTCCCGGTGTGCAGCTTTCAAAAGGGAGATGCAAGGTGCGTCCCTGTGGAAGGTGAAGACCAGCATGCCTCAGGTCAGGGCGGTGGCTGGGCGGGTGGCAGCATGGCCTTGTGGGAAAGCTATGATTGGCTGGGACTCTGCTTCCCTCCCGCGACAGCGGTGAGCCAGTGGAGACCTCTGAGCTCAACCTCTGAGCCTCAGGTCCTCACCCTTGCAACCGAGCGGACAGGAGTGCCGCTTCCTCACGAGGAGGGAGAACAGGGATCCCAGAGTGCCACGGGCCTGGAGCATGAGGTGCCACTGATTGTGATGGGTGGCCATGTCGCTGTTGATGTCACTGGAGACATTGGTGAGCTGTTACTGCCCATGGATCTAGGGGGAGGAAGACTCCTGGGGCGGGCTCTGAGGCCCCTGCTCTCCAAGAGCCTCAGGTCTCGGTCAATACTAGGGTCTTGTGCCAATCTCTCTGTCTCTTTCTCTTTCTGACTTCTAACCAACTGTTAAATTTTTATTTTTATTTGACCGATTGCAGTGCACTATTATATTCGCCATATGGAGTTGGTCCGTGTATGCTCCAAATCGCAAATGTTTTCACTTCCTGTTCCTCTCTCCACCCTGCTTCCCTCTTCCCTTTCTTGGTCCCTGTCCCATTTGTGAGAGATCGCGCTCCTTGTTTCCTGCTATCCATCTTTTATTTGCTGTCTATTTGCTTGTGTTTTGGGTTTCTCATAAGAGAAGCCATGCGGTGTCTGAGCACATGGGTATGATCTGTGTCACTTCTCACCATGGTCTCAAGGTGCTTCTCATCCCTGGCTCCGACTTGCATGGCCAGGTGTATGTGAGGGGTCACCGAGCCCCTGCTGGTGCTTGTCCTTTGTGGGACACCATTGTCCCCTCCCCTCTGGGTGGGACTGAGCAGGGGCTGGGTTTCATCCTGCCTCTGCTCCCTTTCTATGCACAGCGGCCTTTTGGTTCCCTCAGGGTCACCTGGGAGGATGGGGACACTGCAAGGCTCTGTGCATGTTCCTGCTGCACCCTTGGCCCCTGGCGTTATCATGCACTTGTCCTGCACAAAGGGCCTTTGAGCTTTCCTGCCTGGCCCTGCTGCCAGCCTGGTCATTGGGCGGGCGGGCTCTGTGGTCTCCATTGTGCCTGAGTCCTACATACTGTAGGTCTTGGGGCAGGGCTTCCTTGGGCTCCTGCTCCATTTCCCCCAGCAGCCACAAGCCTCGTGTCTTGGGTGGATCTGCTGCATGAGTGTTTTGGTGTCGCCAGCCTTCACGAGGTCCTGCTTTGTGTGCTCTGCCCAAGGGCCCATCCTGCTCTCTGTCACATATGTGCTTATCAGCGCTGGCTCTGTATCTGCATCAAAGCTGGACCCTGGGGGAACCTGGAGGAATCACCTTGGATACCAGAGCAGGACTCAGACCTGTGCAAAGGACACATAGCCCCGGTTGTTGCCTCAGCACCGGTGAGATAGGCGGCTGGGTCGTTCTCTGCCAGGAAGGCAGCTGCCTGTGCAGAGCCCTAATTCAGGAGCATTCCTGTCTTCCACCTACTAGATGTTGGTAACTCTCATGGTAGTAACCAAAAATGTCTCCACTTTGCCAGAGGTCCCTGGGGACAAAATCTGCCTGTGGAGGACCACTGCTTCCTGTGCAGCAGTACGTAACAGGTGTGCATGACAGGTGTGTCTGCTCCCTTCTCTGCAGGTGCAAGCCGGGCTCAGAGGGGAGGCTTGAGGCATCTGTGCGCCCTGTGCCCGCCTCCCTCCAGCACGTCCTGTGGCACTGAAACGGTCACTTCGAACCACCACCTCCTCCATTAGGCTGTGGGCCCGGCTCATCTTTACACCCTATCGACAGGCAGTACATGGCATATAGCAAGGGCTCAATACTAGAGAAATAGCTCAGGGCAAGGCAGTTGTCCTCAACACGAGAGCTAACTGACCACTGTAAAGGTTCCTGGAGATCCATTTCCTAGATAGTTTAATCTAAATATAAATGTACGGAACTAATAAGAATCAATCTCTGCAAATGAGGTGGTAATGAAAAAGATAATCTGCATCCCATAAAAACTTGCTTATTCAAACATTGATTATAAAAGTAAAACTGTGTCTGAACTGAGGCCAGGACCTTGTTTAGCTTGGCAGCCAGCTTCCCTCCTGGCCGAGACTTTGCTTAGGCATTTCCCACCCTGCTTTTCATTTGATTTCACTTGACTTAAATGTGCCGAGGTTGCAGCTCTGCTCCCGAAGCAATCCTGCTGCAGGAGGAAATGCGGCTTCAAAGTGGAGCTGCGTGCAGAACAGAAAGTGGGAGCGTGAGGCACTAGAAGGGCGGCTTAGACGCTGCCATTGCTGCATTTAGAAAATCAAATGAGGATTATTTTGCCTGAAAAAAGATTTCTATTCATGAACACTTCTGTAAAAGGAAATGGAGTGTGTTCTCAATAAACGAAGGCCCGAATTGTAGCTGTGATTATGGCCTCCTTTATGACTAAATCCGTGTGCCCAGCTGCCGGGCCAGGCACTCGGAAATTCTTATTTTACCCCTAGAGATGAACTCTTTCCTGCTCTGCTTGGTGTCCCACGTTGTGGCTCTTGGTAGCAAACAGTGGTTACAAAGCAAGGGAATTTTGCGGGCCAAACTGGAAAGTGCTCCTTTTGGACAGAGGCCGGGCTGGGGAAAGGTGGAGCCCCTCCTCCTGTTAAGAGTCCCCGTTGAAGGGCCAGCTAGACAGCTCAGTGGACTAAAGCGCCTGCTTCGGCAGAGCCCAGCGCCCTGGATTCGATCCCCAGTGTTGCTGTGCCAGCCCCGCCTCCAGGGAGCGCTGAGACATGGATTGAGACTGGGCGTGATGGCGTGTGCCTGTAATCCCAGTGCTTGGGAGGCTCAAAACAGGAGGGTCACTATGAGTCCGATCTAGGTAGTGAGACCCTGTAAACCCTGTAGACCCTATCAGAAATTCATTAAAAGAAAGAGTCCCCGTGAGTTCAAGCGACTGGTGGTTTGCTCATCTTCATCAACTTCACCAGGATCTACTGAGAGCCACTTCTGTGAAGGCCCTGCGCAGGGGCCTGGGGCTAAAATGGCCCCTGTCCTTATAGAGGTGGCCTCCCATGACAGGCTGTGCACTGTACTCTCTGTGAAGTTCTATAAGACAGTGAAAGCTCAGGGAGGGTGATAGCTAGCCAAAAGGCACAGGGCTTATAAAATTGCAGCTGTTAAAAAGGGAAGACTGAGGTTATTTTAAGGATCAAGTGTCGTTTATTTGTAGTCTAACCACTACCAGGAAAAGTCTTCCTTGACTTTTCTTATGGGCTCTTTGCACCAGCAAGTAAGTTTCATGAGAGCAGGGAATTGGTTGTTCTTTGATTTAACTCTGGAGCCCCTAACTGTGTCAGACCCTGGCAGACCGGTGGCTCAGGTTCCGGGAACCTCTCCTGCAGGCGACCTAAGAAATGCCGTGGGGAGGCCCTGGATTGGGTCACAGGGCCTAGGGGCACTCACTTCTTCCAGCTGCAGTCGCAAGTTCCGGGCTTGTCTGGTTGGGGGCGCTGAGGGCTTGGCATACCACAGAGTGGAGGCTTCCACCGCATCCTCAAAATAGCGAGTATCTGTGCCAAGGGAAGGGGATTGAAGTCAGGCCTGTGTGGAGTCCGCAGTACATGTGTCACCTGGATGTGCCCCCTCCCCCAACGTCCTCATCCACCCGAGACCTCTGCCAGTCCTCCGGGGACTAGCCGGACATCCCTAAGACGTCTTCCTAGATCCTGCTCACCCACCCCACCTCCGGCTCTTGTGCGTCTGGCACTTGACTGGTTCCTCCACATTTCCCTGTAGATGTGTTTGTGCTGCTAGCGTGAGACCTTCCTGGTGGTGTGGGTACCACGGCTAGTCCTTAGGTCCCCTGATCAGCCCTAAAGCGGTAAATGGCAGAGTCTACATAGATGCTTTTTAAGCTAGTGAACAGAAGAGCATCTCTTTATCTACAGGATGACTCTCTCCAGAGATGTTTCTCTGCAATCGTTTTCGGGCCAGGCCCTATGAACTCAGGCACGCTTTGCTTCCTCTTTGCTTCTGCAGTGCTGTGGTTCCTCCGAGGCTTGGAGACCCCCTGAAGCTGCCCTATGTGCTTCAGGTAGAAAACCACAAAAGCGAGGGTAAAGCTAATCCTTCCGCAGGTCTGGCAAGCCTGATGCCCTGCAGAACGCTAAGAATTCCCTCCACTCTCCCACAGTTCCGTTCGAGCTTAACACTCGCCGTGTCCCTCTTTTCCTGGCTGCCTCCACTCTGCCATGCTCCTAGGACCAGCAAGTGGCCCGTGCCCCACGAAGAGCATTCTTGAGTTGGTGACAGCTACAGGTCCAGAGCTCTGGTCTGCACCAGGGCCTCCGGCAGAGAAGCCCCATGGATGATTCCTGTCGTCTGTGCAAGGACTCCCTTGGGGAGGCTTCTTGTTATAAATGCTACTTTCCACTGGAGATAGTGTGTTCTAGAGACGCGCCCAAGCCATCGGGATACTAAGCCACGGAGGCAGGATTTCAACCTAGAGTAGTTGAATTCCGAATCTCTATACTTGATCACTGGGCACTACTGCAGCATGGACGAGTGCCTGCAAATGTTCCGCACAGCCCTGCCCAGTACCTGCATATTCAGACTCCTTGGTAGGCCTGGCTGGTAAAATCTTCGCCGATGGCCACGTGTCTACCATTTGAAGCTCGGGGTCTTCATAGTCCTCATTAGCAGAGGCTTTTGCTCCATCCAGGACTGCAGCCATGGTCCTTTCCTAAGCAGGTGGGTACATCTTGGTGAGTCACAGGAAGGAACAGGACTGCGGGCCACAGTGCTGGCTGGGGGAGTGATGTACATGCTTGAACTAAAATTTAAATCTTAATTTTGAGTTCTTGTGAGAGTGAGAATTCTAAAGATGCCCCCGAGAAATTCTCTATTTTTGATTATTCAGTCAAATACCTACTTAGTTTCTACTAGGAAGGTCAGTGAGGAGATAATTAAGGTTGTTAATCAGCTGACTTTAAAATGAAGGGGTAGTCTTGGGTTATTTGGGTATGATCAATTTAGTTATACCAGCACTTAAAAGCAGAGTGGGGGCCTATTTGCTGATGGGATCATCTTATATGTAAAAAAAATCCCAAAGAATCCATTAAAAAGTTATTAAAACTTACAACCGATAAAAGTTTCAGCAAGAGATGAGAATAAATGACCAATCTTTCACAAAAGTCATTTGTACATTTTGGTGATATCAATTTGTGTTTCTATAAATTGGTAATAATTTGGAAATAAAAACTAAGATAAGGGGGCTGTCCAGATAGCTCAGTGGACTAAAGCACCTGCTTTTGCAGGAGCAGGGACTGGGGTTCCATCCCCGGCATGCTGTGCTGGTCTCACCCCCGGGACACGCTGAGATGGTGAATGAGACTGGGTGTAGTGGCGCACGCCTGTAATTCTAGCGCTTGGGAGGCTGAAAACAGGAGGATCACTATGAGTCTGATCTGTGTAGGAGACCCTGTAGACCCTGTATTAACTATATTTAAAATTTTTTTAAAAATAAGAAAATAAGAATATTAGCGTAGCTTAAAAAAATGAAGCACTTAAGAATAAATTTGGCAAAAGATGTGCAAAACCTATACACTAAAAACTGCAAAGGCATCACTGAAAGGCATTCACAAAGACCTTAGGAAGGGGGATGACACTTGGTGTTCATGGGCTGAGGGCCTGAGGTTAGGAGCAAGGTACAGATTCCACAGCTTTGACGTCCACCTCAAAACTCCGAGGGCTCTTTTCCTCTTCCCCTCCCCTCCCCCTGATTTTCTTTCATAGAAATAGACAAGCTAATCTAAAGTCCCTGTGAAAAATGATCTTTCTCTCTCCCAGTCTATTCATGCACTGAACAAAGGACATGTGCGTGTCATCTGCACCCCGAGAGGAGGGTCCTCACTGACAATTGATGGGGGGCTTCAGTTTCCCAGAGTGTGAGAAAATGCATGCCCAAGTCAGCCAAGCTGAGGTGTCTTGTTGTGGCAGTGCCAGCTGACAGGTACCTCTCCAGGGCTCTGGGCATGAGCCCTGTGTGGCAGTGCACAGAGAGTGCCCGCATCCCGGGCAACTGCGATCAGAGCGATTCCGGTGAGGTGCTGGCGTCATGCTGTGCAGGCCGAGATACAGCTCGGCTCCCAGAAGTGTCTGCGGAGAGGCAAGGCGTGTGGAGCTTTGAGCACAGCGCCTGGTGGGAGCGCTCTGCACAGGCCAGCCGCCCTGATGCTCTCTGAGCAGTACTGGCAGAGAGAGTCAGAGACTGCAGGGGGCAGCAGCCTCCTCCGGCCTCTAGCATTTGTCCAGGACTTAACAGGGGCCAGGGGCTTCGTGTACTTAATTCCTCTGTGTAAACAGGAAAATCTAAGAGGCGATGTTAGCCCAGTGGAGAGAGATCTGCTCTGGACCAGACTTGTGTTCTAGCTCAGCCCCACTGCAGTTTTGTAGGTTAGTGGGGCACCTGGCTCCCCAGGATCGTGCCCCAGAGTGTATGTGTGTAGCATTTTTCTGCCACCCCTAGCAGTGTGGTAAGGTCCAGGGAAGTTAGGGGTGACTACAATTTCTAGGTGGGCCGTAACGCACAAAGGACTCAGCGGGCACCAGTAGGGAAGGCATGCTCGGGGGCTCTACTATGGCTGAGAGAACTGGGATCTTCAGATGCAAGGGGACAGAGGGTGGTCCTCACTGGACCTGCAGTTGAGTAGGCTTCTGCTGTCCATGGGAGTGGTGGGGAACTCCAAGGCCACACCTTTGGCTTTCAGCGTGCTCACCCTGGATGCCCACCCACCTAGTGCTCCACTGGAAGGGAAGCCCAGCTCGTACATGGAGTCATCCATGGGTAAGCCATCGGGGGCAAGCTTGACAGATATGAGGTGCTCACATGTGGGGGCCATGCAGTGACCCGTGAGCAGGAAGAGGTACATGAGAAAAGCTTGGCCACTGAAGGGAGAAACGGCGAAGTCAGCAGCACAGGGCGGGAGTAGAAACTTCTGCTGGGTGGCTCTGTGCCCCCAAGGGCGGCGCTGCGGTGAGCCCTTCGGGGTGGCCTGAGCAGCTAGGTGGGGCTGGGGTTGGGGAGTTCTTGG